TGTCGCCGTGGTGATATTAGTCGGTTTATTCAGCATGCAACACTATGGTACTGATAGAGTTAGCTGGCTCTTTGCCCCGATTGTGCTCCTCTGGTTTCTAGTCATTGGAGGCATTGGCACATATAATATTTGCACATATGACAGCAGTGTTTTGAAAGCGTTTTCGCCTATATACATATGCCAATATTTCAAGAGGAGACGGAAAGATGGATGGATCTCCCTCGGCGAAATTATGCTTAGTATAACAGGTAATTTTACTAATATAATTGCAGTGACACTGGCGACATGATGTTGATGATCCACGAATTGTTAAAGGTTATGTTGCATTGATACGGATACGGGGACAGGAAACGGTAATTTTTAAAATTACAGGTACGGGAACGGCAAGGGTACGGCATATAAAATAATTTTAAAATTATAAATATATATAAAAAATCATAAATAAAGTGAAATATTAAGACTCAAAAAACAATATTAAGTTTAGAACAATAAAATCTATAAACAAGCCACAATATTAAAATGTCAAATTTCAAGATTCAAACCATAATATTAAATCTAGAAAAATATTAATCCCAAATCAAGTATTGTTAACATCTTCCGAGATTAACTGATTCTCTCGTATCAATGAATTATCCAGTGCTCATACGCAACGAAAGAACACAAGTTGAAATCAAATCAGCAAGCCGTAAAATCGGACATAAGTGCAGGATTCCATTAAGAGCGGCAAAGTGCAGTCTAAATCTCCTACATAAGTCTGCCATATCCTTTGGCTATTATACAATCATATAATTCAAACCACCACTATGTACATACAACATACGTATATGCATGAGACCAACAAAGGTAAAGAAGTGAAAACAGAACATGAAGAAGTATTGACCAGGTCGCAAGAAAAATGAAATCACATTTAAAAGAATTATAAATCGGATGACAAAAAAAAATCTGAAATTTGGCATTCACTAGAAATCAAATACAAAACATCTGGAACGTATAGTTTAATGAATGTAAGACATCGAGAAAGAAAAAATAACCCAGAAAGGAAAAACAAGTCAGAATAAAATAATCATCCAAATACAACAGAAAAAGAAGAAAACCCATATCAGCAATTATCAAGGAAAGAAAAGTACATGAAAAATAACATAAAAGAAAAGAGAAACTAACACGTATGGAGACACAGGGAAATAGTTGTAGCTTCCTTTAAAAGCTTACAGTCCTGCTCGATGAAAGGATTATGCTCAAGACAGTTTTATGGTTTGATTCATTAAGAGCAAGCAGAATTCCATTCGTGAAACACTTGAGCATGTTTTTTATCATCAATTTCAGATAGAAACAAGATGAGAGAAGCACAAAGAGAGAAAAAAAATTGGATAACTTACCTAGCCAACTGAAACTTTGAAACCTGGAAGTTTCACTTCAGCAGCACAAATTGAGTGTTGAGAGTTGAGAGACGATGAGAATCAAAGAAAGAGGGAATTAAATAGCTGTGAAATTAGGTTATGCGATTGGAATTTTTTTTAAATGTAAAATGACAAAAAGAACCTGGGGACGCATGTGAAAGTCTCCAGCCGTCCCCGAAACGTCCCCAGCTCTCGGTAAAACGTCTCCGACGCCGTTCAACCGTACCCTGCCACCGTGGCACGTCCCCGGTACGTACCCCAGCCGTCCTCGTGTCGTCCCCGTGCCGGGGATGTATCGGGTACTTGAAACGGCACACCAATGACGTCCCCGTGCTTCCTAGGTTAAAGGTACCGAAACACTTTTTGAAGATCTAGTCTATTTTCCGGTTGCAGCTGTGCAGCTTGCTTTTACTGGAGTTGTATTTCCTTGCCTGCTCCTAGCTAATTCTGGACAAGCTGCCTACCTCAGTCAGAACAGGGACGATGTCGGTCAAGCATTTTATCGCTCTATACCTGGTTAGTGGTTATATCTATGCAAGTGCAAGCGTCTCCTTGACCTCTTCTCTGTCTTTTCGATCGAATGCACTTGGTACTTAGTTGTTTCGTTCGATGTTGTTATCATGCAGATAGCATATATTGGCCTGTTTTCGGTATTGCTATTGCTGCTGCTATAGTTGCAAGTCAGGCTACCATATCAGCAACTTTTTCAATCATCAAGCAAGCCCTTGCACATGGTTGTTTTCCGCGAGTGAAGGTGGTACATACATCGAAGAAGTTCCACGGCCAGATATATATTCCAGGGTATTAATTGGCTCCTCATGGTCCTTTGCATTGCTGTTATTGCTGGATTCAGGAACCAATGCCAAATCGCCAATGCTTATGTATGAATTTCGAAGTGCATTTTGAATATATGTATGAATTTCATGTTGCTGCAGGCACAGCTGTGGTGTTCGTGATGTTTGTAACGACACTGCTTATGACTTTAATCATGATATTGGTGTGGCGCAGTCATTGGATATTCGTCGTCCTCTTCACTAGCTTGTCCCTGGTTGTAGAGTGCACATTCATCTCGGCTGTGCTGTTCAAGATTGATCTAGGTGGGTGGATTCCCCTTGTTATTGCAGGAGCCTTTCTGGTAATCATGAATGTTTGGCATTATGGAAGGATGAAGCGATACGAGTTCGAGATGCATGATGAGGTGTCTATGGCATGGCTTCTGGGGCTCGGACCTAGTTTGGGACTAGTACGGGTTCCCGGAATGGTACTGGTGTACACCGAGCTATCAAGTGGCGTACCCCATATATTTTCCCACTTCATTACTAACCTACCCGCCATCCATTCCGTTGTTGTTTTCGTGTGTGTCAAGTATCGTCCTGTCTACACAGTTCCAGAAGAAGAGAGGTTCCTTGTGAAGCGGATTGGACCGAACAAATTTCCACCTGTTCCGTTGTGTTGCTAGGTATGGCTACAAAGACCTTCATAGGAAAGACGACGATTTCGAGAAAAAGGTGTTCGATAGCCTCTTCTCATTTGTGCGGCTCGAGTCGATGATGGAAGGGTGTTCGGAATCAGATGAATGTAGTTGGCATGAGCAGCAAACAGAGGTGACAGAAGATGGTGTGTTCAATAGCGAGGACAACAACTTGGTGACCTCAAATACAGATACGGTGGTGTCGTCGTTTGTGCATCCGGGAGTGACTTCGATGGAAGACATGGATGAATTAGAATTCCTGAACAAGTGTAGGGAGGCAGAGGTGGTGCACATTCTAAGAAATACGGAGGTGAGGGCAAGAAGGGTTGCCGGATTTTACAAGGAAAAAACGATCGATTATATATATGCATTTCTTAGGAAGATATGTAGGGAGAACAGTGTGATTTTTAATGTTCCTCGTGAGAGTCTATTGAGCGTAGGTCAGATTGTTTATGTATAACTTTCTTTATTTATTTATTTCTTGTGTCTGGGTGGGTGGGGGGGGGGGGTTTATCTTGACTTAATCATGTTACGATATAGAACATAAATAAACAGATCCAGTTATGCAAGAGGGAACCAACCATCCTCTCTATCTCTCTTGTCAATGATTACAAAATATGCATGCATTGCTTCTCAGATAACTGCAACCCTGCTGCCAAATGAATGTCACTCGATCCATTGTAATCAGTTTATTCGTTTAAACTAAAGATTATTAATTCACACTCCATTGAAAGATAATATATTATCCCCCAACCCAAAAAAAAAAACATAGAGAAAAACTTCCTTCCACCAACAATCAATTGATCTAGTTGGACGAGACACTAGATTCTTTAAGTAAGATTCGAGATTCAAATTTTAATGATAGTGAATGAAACAAATTGGGTTGAAAATGTCGTCACATAATAAGCCTTTGCAAAATCTGATATGAATCTATAAATTAAACATAGATGGTTAATTCAAGAAAAAAAACTGTTGGCTTCCATCATACTAATACACACACGTTTTGTAGTTTTTGAAGGATGTCTCACTCCATTGCTGTCTTATTTTAATGCGGCTAAAACTTCAGGTTTAAATGGTGCTTAAATGACGTTGATATTTTCTTTTAAATTTTAGTGACGCCCCTATACAAATTGAGAGAGGGTGATAGGAGCGGTCATCCTCTAAAAAATTTAAATTCTCACATAATTTAGATTTATTCTTTATATTTTCGTTAATAATCTATTTTCAACTCCTAAAATTTTATAAATTTGTCCTCTAAAATGGTACGAGAGTCATTGCCGAGCATCAGAAATGATGATGCTGTCGGCTTTTGTAACAAATATTGAGTTCCATTGTTTTAAACAAATGTGAGACACTTTAGGCATTGATACTTGAGCTCCAAAGTCCAAGGAAGATGTACATTTTTTGTGTTCCTGTACCTTGGAGCTAAGAAGTCCACCAAGTTTGAAGCTGATTTGCAGTTTTGTACCGGATAATTATTGCTGTTCTTTGACTACATAATGGCGCGCTGGCATAGTTATCGGAATTGGATCCTATAGTTCCATTCATCAAATCAAAATATTCTAACAATCAAAAGAATTTACTATATGGTTCATAATCTTGGAGAGCCATTAGTGCCATGCATGAACATTTCAAACAAATATACACGACAATGTAAGAAAAACATACAACCATGGGAAGAGGGTGCAAACATATAACCATGGGAAGAAAGTACATATATTGATTTATGTTCAGTATCGGAAATGAGGTCGTTAACTTAACTGCCTATTTATCCTTATCTCAACGGGAGAAACAAAGCAGGGACAACTCAAATCACATAGGGAAAACAGCATTCAATTACAAGGTGATACCTAGCTTCTAATCTTCCTCCCTGGCCCTCAACAGAGCTCTTAAACCAAATCAAAGCTTCACAATTTCAAAGCTATAAGCGTTTCCTTTCTAGCCAATCATTAACAATAGAAGTGAAATTTACCAGATAGAAGAACAGATCCATTAGTAAAAAGGTGAGAGAAACTTGGACTACAATAGAAGAATGGTGGAATGGATAACATCTAGTCTCATTAGAGCGTGAATCAGAGCAATTCAATTGAATTATTGTAATAAAAATAGTGTAAACAACATTATCAAAAGGATGAAGTGAATTCCGATTCCCACTTGATATGATCAAAACATCAACAGAGTTAAGATTCAAGCAATCCCAAGTTCAAACTTAAGCCGGTAAGAATCTGCAAGCATGCAAAGTAGTAGTAGTCTCCATTTCGAATCAACAAGTAGATATCCATGAAAACCAAAAGTACCTCTACTGCTCATTCCATTACAACTTTGGCACCAAGAGCCTTCATCTTCTCAATTATCTGTTCACCTTCTTCCTTGGAGACACCCTTCTTCAAGACGGAGGGAGTCTTCTCAATCAAGTCTTTAGCTTCCTTGAGACCCAAATCAGTAAAACTCCTAACCTCCTTTATTACTTTAATCTTTGAAGCAGCATCATACGACTCCAATTTCAATTCAAAAACAGTCTTATCTGGCTTTTTCTCCTCCTTAGAAGCCGCCGCGCCGCCACCACCAGCCGCCTTCATTGTCAACCCAGCAGCGGCAGCAGCCTTCATGACCCCCACAGTGGGCGGCTCAGTTATTCCGCGTTTCTTCATTATAATAGAGCCTAACTCGGCGATTTCAGACAGAGTGAGGGCGGAGATTTCATCAACGAGTCTCCAAACACGCTCAGTTGGAGGACTACGATGCTCGGTAGGATCGAAATTAGAAGGATCATAGTCAGCCGGAAGTCTTCTTTGATCAATCTCAACCTCTTCTTCCTCGTCATCTTGTTCTAGCTTTGCAGGCTGGCTAAATTTTCGGGATAATCTGATTGAACCGGAGGTATCGAGAGTGACAATCCGAGGCCTACATTGAAACCCATTAGGCAAACGATGCCTTAATCTTAAGAACAAGCTCATTTCTTTCGGCAGCTGAAGGAATAAAACCCTAGACAGAGATAGAGAGAGGGGTTTTGCGCTTCTTTTAATTCCAGGCTTATAAAACGATTGCAGTAGTTATAGAAAATAGGGTAAATTACATGTTTAGTAACCCAACAATTTCTTTTGTTCCGTTTTAATTATTTAGTTATTATTATTTTCAAAATCATACCTATCGTGACATTTTTGGTTTCATTTTAGTTATTATTCTTTTCATTTTTAAAAGAAAATTCAATGATTATGTGACGTTATTTTATGATAACACATTAATATCATCGTTAATTTTCTAATTATAAATGACCAAAAAGAAACTAAAACATAGCGTTATATGATTATTAAACAAAAAGTAGCTAGGTAAATAAATCGAAAACAATTGATAGTTGTGATATTACATTGCATGTGTAATTTATCCTTAAAATAGCAAGTATTTGTGCACTCTCATTCGATTAGAAAAAATTCTAAACATATACTACCTTATAATCACATTAAACTAATTAAAAGAATTTCTATCATTTTCATAGTCGAGACAATTGTCACCAGCGACACCTAAGAGCCCAAAATCAGTACACACATAGACGTCTAAAGAGTTTCTGACAATGCAATTTATCTACAATCCAATATTTTCCATTTAATATATAATGCTACATTCTTCTTGTTTTACTAACCTCAATTATTTTCCATCAATTCATCCTCTAACAATAATCGATCCATCATATTACATCTTTTTCCTATAAATTAAATTATAATCTCTAAATTTAAATTTATTAATAGAAAAAATTGCAAACTAGAGTTTCACGAACATATCTCTATGTTTTTCAAATTGCGATTTCAATTCTATTATTCAGTATTGATGTCTATTGCTCAGATGGAAAACAGATCCTAAAGATGAAAATCCCTTCTTCTCTTTTTTTATTATAGCCTTTACCTTCCTAAACCGGCCATGTTATCTATAAATACTCAATATTTTCCCTATGTATCGAAATATGTGGAAATGTTTGAAACTTTTAAAGTCTTCTCATTTTCCTTCTTTTTTAAAAAAATACAAAAATATTGATAATTAGGGAAAAATATCAATATAATCGGTTTACAACACAAAATGTTCTATGTAGAAACCAGAAAAGTTATCTATTTATATGATAATATTGGTTAAAATTTAAAATGTTACCCTTCTAACAGTCACAAAATAATTTATAAACCATCAATGTTATTAATATAATTAATATTTTAGGTTTTGCCTTAAAATATTATCAGATTTTAAGCTGACGTAACCTTATTCATACACACGACAACAAAATAAATTAGTTGTATCTAAAGAGTAGGTTGCGACATGAAATGTTATAAATTTCAAAAATATCGATATTCTTTAAAAAGTATTGATACTTACAGGCAACATAAGTTACTCGGTTAAGCTATTTTAAATTATTTTAAAATACTTATAACTTAATATTTTCAATAGCGCTAAACCTATTTTATTAAATTTATTTTCAAAATTTTAATTACGTTGTTTTTTAATCTTATATTAGTCTATCATTACTTAGAGTTTTCTATGCAATAAATACAAGAGTTAGCTCATATTTATTGTCTGCAAGACGGTCTAATTTAAGAAATTCAAATCATTAAGTAAATAGTAATTTAATAGGATTAAAAGATAAAACTCATTAAGTACATGAAAACTTAATCATGCTATAACTTATCAATAAGAGATAAATTTTGTATTATTAGAGGCTTAGTAATAAACCAACGAATTCCATGTAAACTCGTAACCCATGAAGGTCCCCAAATATCGCTATAAATTAAGAAAAAAAGGTTTAGGTTAGCGAGACGGAGAAGGATGATAAGAACTCCGAATGTGTTTTGCAAGAGAGCAAATGTCACAAGAAAATTATGCTGGATTTTTATTAATAAATAATTTGGGAAACAATTTTGCAATATAAGAAAAACTTGGGTGACCTAACCTAAAATGCTATAACACAATGTCGGCAGTCACATCTGTGGGAGAAAATGAAACAAAAGAAGAGATAAATAGTGCAGGTGAGTGGTTAGGAACAAGAGTATAAGGAGGAGCGTCAAGGATGTAGAGTCCACCACAACGCCTAACATTGCCAATCATCATCCTTGAGGTCAAATCTTGAAATTTACAATAATCACGAGTAAAATGAGAAGTACAACCCAAATCGGTAGATAATTTGCTAATCGAAAGAAGATTACAAGTCAAACTTGGAACAAATAGAACATTAGATAGAGTGATATGGCTATTAATGCGAACTGAGTCACTGCCCTTAACCGGTGATAGGGAGCCATCAGCAGTACAAACACTGTATGAGATACCATTTTTGTGAAATGTGGAAAATAAACTGAAGTTGCCTGTCATATGATCACTTACTCTAGAATCAACAATCTAAAAGACATACCCTGGTGAAGGGGATAAGAAGGTAAAAGGAGAACTACATTCACTAACAATGCAGGCATACTTAGAGTCAATAGCAGGAGGAATCTGTAAATGACCAAACATCTATCGTAGATCGTCCAACTATTGACAAGAAAAGGAACCACCCTCCAATGTCGTTACAACAGAGTTATTATGAGATGGACACGATGAGGATTTGGATGGAGTCCAATTGGCTGGACGGACATGGAGCTTCCAATATTTATCACGAACATGACCAGGTTTTCCACAGTGATCGCACCAGGGACGACCTTTCTTGACATGGGTGTCACCGGATGAATGAGTATTTCAGGCAGAATTTTCAACGGGTGGAGCAAGCATCAGAGAGCAGCGACTTTCTTCGTGACAAACTTCAGAGAACACCTCGGGAAGAGACAGAAGAAGTATGATGCCTAGAATTCAGCCACATGCATTATCAAGAGAGATGAACAGTCCCGATATGAATTAAAAAATACATCGTTTTTCAAGAGAGCTTGTGATATGTCGCGAACTAGCAGGGAGCACTGTTATAAGTGACAATTGGAAATCTGAGGATATCGACTCTAGGATGAGCATCGAATGGGTTGTGCGACGAGGAGACAGTGATGGCTTGACAGATACCAATAGTGACAGAACAGGTACCAAACAGTGAAATAGGAAGGCTACCGTTGTGATGAGGGTAGCGCTGGACCAACGGTGAGACAAGAGATATACGGCAAGGAGAGCAGCGCTACGACAGAAGTGACACTGATATGGTTGTGCAACAAGGAAGACGGCGCTACGAATGGGCGGTGCTACGAAGAATTTCATAGTTGAATGACTGCAGTGCATAGAAGGTACACTGCTGGTCGGAAGGATAACAAATGACGATGTCAGTAAGGTTGGAATCGACGCCGACAAATGATACCATGTAGAAACAGAGTTTTCTAACTCAAGTAAACAGAGTTTTCTGATTTTGGAAAATAAAATTTTCTACTTCTGGTAAACAAGGTTTTTGATTATGAAATTTTTTTTATTCAAAGAACAATTGCATATTACACAATAGGATATATGAGATTTTTATATACATGAATTAGAGACCTAGATAAGATAGGAGACATCTTTTCTACAAATTAGGAGATAATTTTTTTAGATAAGTTAGGATTTAGAGTTTAACTTAAACACTACTTACACATAGTTCGAACCATTCACATTTTTCATTGGTGCAAACTCTTCCTTACGTAATACCTACATATTTAGAAACATAAAGAGTTAGATGAAGGGAAAAAATATCACTAAAGAATCACCCATCCAAAAAAAAAGTATTAATTGGTGCAAGAAAATGGTGATATCATTACCTCAAACAAAGCCGTTGAAGGAGCATAGGAAAATGCATTAAATATGAACTTATTTAGTTTCAAACCCATTTTATAACCATGAACAGATTGAAGGAGGCAACAAGAAATATAAGAATCCTATGAGCTCAGCATCTTTTCTTCTCAATGATGTTGGGGAATCCCATCATTTCAATAAAAAATTAGGTATATAATAATAGCTTTCATGTTGAAAGGATAGTTAGCAGTAAACAGAAGGCACTTCACTATCGAGTTTGTTTTCAGTTCAATGAAAGGGGAAAAGAGAAGAATGCATCGATCATACATCACGCAGATCAACATTTTTAACAAGTTCTTATTAATTTGTCAGAGATTAGCTTCCTAAATTAGGAAGATTATGTAGGATCTCTGTAAATATATTCTACTAGTTAGGATCCCTAACTTTAAAGGACGAGAATTACTCCTAGAATCAATTACTTATCTAGCTTAGCAGTTTCCAAGTTAATGCAACAGTGTGTATATTTAAATAGTGTATTTTTCTACATAAAGTGATATAATCGAAAGAGAGATAAACCAGTTTTGACATGGTGTCAGAGCCTCTCCAGCTCTTCTTTTCGAGTCCAATCATCCTCACTTAAACAAACTACTTAGCCTTTAAACTCCCTTCAAAGAACCAAGTATATGCCCAACAAAAATATTGGTGATGAGGCTAATTCCTATAGAGCTGAAACCATTCAAGGAGGCACAATGAGTGAAGGAAGTCACCCCAATCCTATTAGTGACTTACAAAATATACAAGCAACCTATAGATTGAATGGTAAGAACTATATTAAGTGGTCCTTAATGGTTCGAACGTTCCTAAAAGGAAGAGGTAAACTCAATCATCTCCTAGGAACTGACCCTAAAGAATGAAACCCTAGGTTTAAAGAGATGAGCAAGACTCATTAGTTATGTCTTGGCTGTAGAATTCAATGGTGCCTAAGATTAGTAACACCTGTATGTTTCTTAGGACAACCAAGAAGATATGGAAGACTGTGAAACAAACTTATTCAAAGGTTCGAGATGCTGCCCAGATATATGAAATCAAGATCAAGGTTTCATATACTAAACAGAGAAGCAAGTTAATTACAGAATATTCTAACTTGCTGCAAAATCTTTGGTAGGAAATCGATCATTATCAATGCATTCAAATAAAATGCATTAAAGATGCTGCAATCTTAAAAAGGTTTGTTGAGAAAGAAAGGATTTATGATTTTCTTGTTGGATTAAACATTGAGTTTGATGTAATGAG